AAATGAAGGAAGGCCAGGTAGACCTGTTAAAGGTTGAAAACTGCAATGAGTCAGAGGTGCTGCAGAGCGAGATCAAATGTCTTGGGGACCAAGTCCAAAGTTTGAATGAATCCCTGAGGACTACAGTTGAGCAGGTTCAGGCTAAAGAAAACCTGCTGACTCAGAAGGAAATTGAGATTTCTCAGGAGAGAGATAACATCCAAAAGTTGAATACGACATCTGAAAGGGAGCTACAAGTACTGATGGATCAGATCAAGGCAAACGAGGAACAGCTGGTCACACTGGAACATGAGGGATCCATACAGTCGGACATGCTACAGCAGGAGATCAGAGATGTAAAAACACAACTCTCTGATATGGGTGACTCTCTCTCAGAAGCTCAGGAGGCACTCAAGGCGCAAATGGTAGCATCTCAAGATGAGGTAAAGATGCTAAATGAAGAGATTCGTGCTAAAAAGGAACAATTCATTCTTCTAAATACAGAGACATCTACACAATCTCAATTGCTACAGCAAGACATTGAAAGTCTAAACAAACAAATAAATACTTTGAGCAATTCTCTTGAGAACGCCAAGGACCAGGCTCTATCCAAAGATGAGTTGTTGGCCGAGCAGAAGCAGCAGAGCACTTTGCAGATTGAGGCACTTGGAAAGACCAGAGCAGTTCTTGAGGAGGAGGTCAATCAGCTGAGAGAGCAGATTCAAATGAAGGAAGGCCAGGTAGACCTGTTAAAGGTTGAAAACAGCAATGAGTCAGAGGTGCTGCAGAGCGAGATCAAATGTCTTAGGGACCAAATCCAAAGTTTGAATGAATCCCTGAGGACTACAGTTGAGCAGGTTCAGGCTAAAGAAAACCTGCTGACTCAGAAGGAAATTGAGATTTCTCAGGAGAGAGATAACATCCAAAAATGTAATACGACATCTGAAAGGGAGCTACAAGTACTGATGGATCAGATCAAGGCAAACGAGGAACAGCTGGTCACACTGGAACATGAGGGATCCATACAGTCGGACATGCTACAGCAGGAGATCAGAGATTTAAAAACACAACTCTCTGATATGGGTGACTCTCTCTCAGAAGCTCAGGAGAAGGTTCAGACTCAGCTAGTCATGCTCACCAAGCAGGAGCAGGACAGCGCTGAGCAGATGGGGCTTCTTCAGCAGCAGCTGGCATCAATAAATGCAGAGCTGGACCAATACCGAGAGACACAAGCTGTAGAAATCCGAGTGAAAGAGGCTGAACAGGCTGCCACTTTCAGAGAAAAGGAGGCTCTGGTTCAGGAAAAAGAAGTACTCATGGCCAGGATACTGCAGACGGAAAACAACCAGAAAGCTCTGGAGGAACAACATGAAGCTGTGGTGTTTGAGAAGGATAGACTCGCTCAAGCCACGCAGGCCATGGAGAGAGACAACAAGGCCTCTCATGAACTGGAATCTTTGCTACAGCATGAGATGGAGATATTGAAAAAGGAGAAGGAGATACTCTTGAAAGAGAAAGAAAAAGCAGACGAAATCCAAACACTAAAGAAAGACCTACAAGAACAGCTGTCGGCTAAATCTGAGGCTGCAGAACATTACAAAGCACAGGTTGGTGTAAAACAAATCCTCCAAGGACATAACACTATTCACTACTTGTATTTCTACCTTCCTAATAAGCTTGTTAAGAGTCCAAAATTATCAATATTAACATTTGTTTTATTGTCACAATGCCACAGATGGAGAAGGCCATGAGCCATTACAATGGCAAAAAGCAGCTTCTCCAGGAAAGCCAAGAGGAGGCGATTGAACTCAAGCAATCCTTGGAGGTGAAAGAGTGTGAAAGAAATGCTTCTACCATGGACAACAAGCTGCTTCAACTTGATTTGGAGAAGGCCCAAACCAATGAGAAAGCACTTTTGAACAGGGTGGCCAATTTAGAGGCACAGGTTGGTATTTCGACTCGTGGGGAGAATGAAAAACTATCTATTTAAATAATAAAAAAGAAATGTTTTGCTGCTGACCTTCATCACTATATATTTTGTACCATTTAGCTGGCGTTTGCTGAACGTAACCTGCGTGCACAGAACAAGTTTCATGGTAATGAAGGAAGCTCGCGGACGTCCCTTTACATGGAGGTTGCCGATGCACACTCGAGTGTAAACACTAAAGCAAAGGAGAAGAAAGCCATAAGCTCTGACAGCCTGGACCACAGCTCCCTGGAAGACTCTCTAAACAACACAAGGTAAAACACTTCAGACACGTACGTAGCATGAAATCTTGTGCCACTGTTCGATAAAGTGAAACCATTCGTTCCAAATGGTTTCTGATGATTTCTTTGGTCATATTTGGTTAAAGTTGGCCAAAGGAAATAGGATTTACTATTAAAACTTTTAGTAATACATTTAATTAAGATAATCAATTTTAGCCAACCAACTCCTGCTTTTCACCTGTTACATACAGTATATAACATTGAATTGACATTATTCACCGATAAACTAGTTCCCATTATTTGAATGACATGTCTGATTCAAGTAAGAAGATATAAGGCTTGAGAGAAACGCATGAAATCTAACATTAATGGCATTGTGGAGTTTATTTTTATTTTACTCTCACACAATACTCTTGTTCTTACCTTTGCAGAAAACTTTTAGCACCTGATGAATCAAGCACACCGCTTGTTCGCAGTTCAGAGCGCTTGGCAGCCAAACACAGACGTCTACCCACGGAGTCCCTGGAGACCCTGTACTTTACACCTATAAACAGCAGACAGATCAACAGGTACTATAGACACTTGAGACAACTGTGGTATTTCACAGAACAGCCACCTTTTTGGGAGGCATATATTCTCATTTAGTGAATGAAAGTGGTGGGGGTTTTATAGTTCTCTAAATGCTTTTTTCAGTATAGTGTAGTAGATGTTGAACCATTTATTCCAGTAATTTTTTTCAAATTATTCTTAAGTTTCCCTTCCCATACATACATACTTTTCTGAAGTGAAACCAATATCACTGCTCTTACTACATAAGATTCTTGTTTTCTTTTTCGCCTAGGATCAATGCAGAGCACACACACGAGCTGGATTCAACACGGAAAAATCCAACTTCTTCTGTGAAGCGACGAAGGACCACACAGGTTATTAACATCACCCTGACCAAGGTGGAGGAAACTCACTTGCACACTCATTGCATGTTTTGCATGTTCACAATAAGGCACACTGTGAATAAACTACAGTTATATAGTCCCTTAACAGTTATATAATCACAATGGTTTCTTTATCACTATTCCTCAAATACATTAATTACGAGGACATTTTGCTTATTTTGTTTTCTTAAGGTTTAGCTGGTTCTTTCACTCTCATTGTTCAATAATACTATTACATTATGATGTATCTTTAGCATTACTGTGCTTGTTTTGAACATAATATAACAATTTGCAACTAAAGAGCTGTGTTTGCTCTTCAGGTTGTTGGGAGCACTGCTGTCTGTGTAAAAATGCAGCAGTGTTGACTTGCATTCAAACGGCTGAACCAAAATGTTCTAACTTGCCCTCTTGAAATTCCTAACCCTTAAACCTGTAGAAAACCCCAGGTGGCGGTGAGCATGATGACACTTTCTACAGTCTGGCCTCGGCTCGCTCCCATCCAGACCTCTCCAGTGCCCACTCTGCACGCCCCGTACCTATGGAGCTGCTAGACACACCTGCCAGATTGACCGGCCCTGCCAGATTGACCGGCGCTGCCAGCGACCAGCTCATCGGTCTTCCAGGCTACAGGCGGAGCACCATGCTTTCACAGCGTAAGTTGACACCTGGCTAACTCACAGGAGCTTGTACTTAAGGAGAAATTAAGAAAGAGGTCTGTCTGGTAAATGCATAGCTGGGACCAACAAAACTGCCTGTGGATAAAATGGGCCCCAAATGAACTATTCAGATTATTCTGCGAACTATTTCACAAATTATCTTTTTATGTTTTAATCATAGAATATCAAAAACCGTAAAAAAGTGGTAATCCCATTGTCTTAGAGTGCAAGTGCAAGTAACAACATCCAATATATTTTTCTGTCCGGCATACAGTCTAAATCCCCCAAATCCATACTTTATTATAATCTAAGACCAAGAAAAACTGGCAAGCTTTAATGTTTAATAACTACATCATTGTAACAGTTTTTTATAGTTTAGTAATTTGGAGACAAAACCCCATTTGAAAGTTTAAAATAGGCGTGCCTTTATCTCCATCTGTGTGTCCATTTTTTCAATGGTGGGTATAAAAAAAACGTTTTTTCTACATCTGTTCCCTCTTCAGCTGCCAGTACATTCTGTGCAGGGGCGGAGAACGAGCCTGACGTTGGACCTGATGATTGGATGAGGATTGCCGAGCTCCAGGGCAGGAACAAGGCCGTCCTTCCTCATCTGAAGAGCAGCTACCCCGTGGAGTCTGACGTTAGTAGAAGATGACACTCAATGCACTGAACACCATAGACATACTGTTGCTGGGGAAAAATATTGAGATATAATGCACAGGGAATTATTGTGGCAATAAATCAGCAAAACAAACAAACATTATGATAATGTTGGCTTAAAACTATATCATACACTTGGTCTGGTCGTGTACTGCCCACCATCCCGATACATATTTAGAGGTTGACCAGTGGTTGTTTTTAAAGACACATTTTGAGAAAAAGATTATACGTTTAGCATATTGTTATGTCAGTGCTCATTAACATTTACTGCCCATGAAAGAACCACAAAAACACATTAACGTGAATTCAAAAATGTGAAAGATAAACAATTGTATTTTAGAAACAGTAACTAACTAAATCAACAAGAGAAAAAGATTCTGCAAAACAATAATAGAATTAATGTTTTTATTGAATCAAAATGTCAAATGAAATACACAGAAAAGGTACACATCTCAGGTCTTCCTTAACTTCCCTCCCCTAAGAAATGGTACCAAACAAGGTTACATGTTTTGTTTATTTCTATGCCCTTAATCCTTTTCTATCAGTTTGATAAATCCCTCTCTGTCTCTGTTCTCTCAGCCATGCCGTGGCGCGACTTTCCTCTTCACAGACGAAGAGCTCCGTACGGGCGACCCGTCTGACACCATCCGCCGGAGCGTCCACCATGCCGGGCCAGCTGAAAGATTCTCTCGCCTCCCATCGGCACTCTCTCATGGTGGGACACTCGGCTGCAGCTGCCAATACTCGTTCTCACCGTCTGTCCTTGATGCCCGAGCTGCCATCAAAAACCGTCAGCTCGAAAGGCACCAAGCGGTCTTCATCTACGCTGTCCGTACACCAAACTTCGCCTGAGGTTGGTTTGCGTCCTGCAGGACATAAGTATTCGTTACATTTTGTGTTGCTTAATGTGAGAGCCTGACTGAAGTGCAAATGATGAATGTTTCATAGGCCATCTTTAATGTTTTACTGAGGTTTCCTTACATTGAAAGGTTATTCATAATGTATTAGTATTGAAAATGTACCTCTTCCCTATGCTATCTCTGACAATTAACTGTAAAGTATCTTATCATATTGCATGTCTTTGCCAATTGCCTGAACACCACATTTGCCTATTGGCTGACATATGAACAGACATTTTGAGTATTATTCTCAAAGAATAGTTGTCAGGCTTTTGTGTTGTTTGCTTATTTAATTTGTTATCTGAAAGCTTACTCTTACCATAAAGTTACTCTTAAATGTAACTTTCTGAAATCCTCTTTGTCTTTCCACGTTTCCATCTGACAGAAAAAGGTGAGGGCCAGCTGTTTCCCCCGACCACTCACTCCCAAAGCCAAGAACGTGATGAGTGAGCCTTTCAACTCTCAGATTCGAACCGCCCTCAGTCCAGTGAGTGAAATATTTCACACACACACAGAATATATTTAATACATGTCATTTTAGGGAACAAAAGAATACATACAATGGTTTTGCATGTTTTTCTAACAGTTACCCTTGTATTATTCTCTAGGTTGAACGGAGGGAGTCAATGATGTTCAGTATTGACAACACCCCTCAAAAAAACAACTTTCTTACGAAAAACATAAACAAACTACGCAGCTCCACTCGGAAATTCCCAGGAAAATCTTCAAAGAAATCGCCTGCTCAGAAGTCTGTGCGTAAATGCCAGGAAAACAACCCTGCGGCAGATTCCCGTGCTGGAGTGGCACGGACAGGAAACACTGGCAGCTTTAAATCCCCTCAGGTTGCCACTAAAGGACAGAAGACCACCAGCAGGTCTGCAAAGTCTCCTGGTCCATCTAGTGCTCGCAAGGTAAACGCTCACACAGATAAATCCATTCAGGGTTTTACAGGGCAAACATTATTATTATTTTCTCTCTGTACTTTATTTCCCCGTGCCAGCATGCCTCTTTTGCTAGCTTGTGTAGCCCAAATGGAGTGTAAATGGAGTGCAGGCTGCATATGAGGCTGCAGGCATGACAAAGAATCATCATCATCTGCTGATAATCAAACAGCAGCACGTAGTGGAGATGCTGACGTAAACCTTTGATTAGATTTCTGGCCCTAGTTTGAGTGTTATTTATTTTGTCCTTATTGACTACGAGAGATGGATTATGTTTGAAATCTCTAATCAGGGATCTGATTGATCTGACAATGACGAAACACTTCATGATCATTAACATTTAAGTAACCGTTTTCAGAAGCGTGGGTCTGGAAATGATGACAACCTTTGTGGAAGTGTTAAAAGGTCAATAAAAGTAATTGTATTTTGTGGAATAAGGGTTTGTTGACTTAAACTGGCTGGTTGGGTTTTTACTTTTGCCATAATAAGACACGGTGTGTTCATTTCATATATAAACTTTATGGGTTTTCACATGTATCTGTCACAAAAACACACTTGGCTTTAGCTTTCAATAAATGAACATATTGTATAAAAACATGCTTCACTGTGATCTCTGGTTTAATCACTTGTTTTGTATCCCACAGATGATGAGCAGGATGAAGGTTTGAGGACTGGTTCCCAATGATGATCGTCTACGGTTCTACTTAAATCATGTTTTGTTTCCCTGCAATCTTTTATAATGTTGCCCTTCAGCAATCTTTTAATATTTTCTTACATTTCTTTTAATTTAATCTGTATTATATTTACATGTTTGCCAATAAAATTTATAAATGACACTATAAAAAAGCCTGCTATTTGAACCACTTACCTCAGTCGTGTCTGGTGCAGCTTGGTCTAGAAATGTTCTGATAAACTTAAACCTCGTCACTTTAGGATGCATTTTCCAGAAATTGCAATTGCTGTAGAAAAGATGGATTTTGATAGCAGTTAGTCTCATTTCTACTGTGAGGCACTATCCCAAAACTAGCTCTGTAAATAAAAATGAATAATATTAATTTATTCAAAAATTGTTTAAATAGAGTGAATATTGACGATTTGCTCCAATAATATTTTAAGTAAGGTGGCTCGTTCTCTAAGATCCTCAATTTGTTTTTCATCCTGTTGTCCATTTGTTAGAATGCGCTACCTTATTTAAGCATAATAGCACATAGGAAGTTCATGTTTGTATAAATAAATACATTTCTTACTTAATAGATATGATTGAGCAGCTTTAATTGTCTGAACACACACTAAAACAAATTGCGGAGAAATCATGTTAACTCAGTTTCCTTGTTTGAAGGGGACTATTCTACTCTTTGATCATGATAACTGGGAAAATGCAGCGACAGAAGTATGAAGATCCCAAGATATTTTTGTAATTGTGATCTGAAAATGATTTGGTCCACAAAAATACACAATTGTGCAGATTAATACTAGTTATTATTTATAAAGTGGAGGTTTCCAAGAACATGTCAGTTCAAATGAATCCATAATGTATACTGTTACAGTCCAGTCCACTGTAGTGCCCCTTCAGCATATGAACCATGACCCTACAGCTCTGCTTATGACTGTTGTGAAACTGTTACACTTCCGGTATATGCCTCAAAACCCTTCAGAATAAAAGCAAAATATTTTTAGTTTTTCTATTATTTTATTACCGGTGTTTCCA